TTGTTATGATATTTTTAATTTTTAATTAATTATTTTGACTTTAATTTGATTTGATTGTGGATATTTATTATCGTTTTTATCGATATTTTCAATTGCTTGATCACCAATTCAATTGTTAGTGGATTTTATTATTATCGAGAGAGACAATATGGTATAAGCACATTATAATAAATATTGTTAGGTTCGATAGAGGATAAATATATATCTCTATACTTTATATGATTTTAATATATGTTCTAGTACTTGTTAATACATTTATCATGTTTGCATGTTTTATCAAAAAATAGAAGGGTCACATGAGGAGAATATATTTGATTGCTGTCAAGATAGGCTTTCAATTAAATTAGGAACATTGACCAACATGAATGATTTCAAATTGTCACTTTAATTGTTACACTAAAAATAGAATAATAAGGGGAATTCGACATCTTAGTAATGCATCTTACCCATTTGAAAACNCATCTTACATATTTGAATAAAAATACATTTACATACTTTCATTTATTGTAATTGATAATTTAGGGATTAGTATAAAAAAATTACAGAATGTGTTTGCTGTTCAATTGAAGTTGGAATTAATTTTAACTCGATCAAATATTTAGTCCTCGTAGGTTCGACATTCTATTTACTACTTTATTACTTGTTCATGATCCTATGCACTTGCGGGTTTTCAAATGATCAAGAGTAAAGCAAAGAGAGGCTGAAATTGAGAAAATATATTCAGGCACAGATTGGAGGCAGCCGACTGCAATTTTTATACAAAAGCCAAGGGAGAAAAAGACAAAAAAAAGGGTTAATTAGGCCAAATACCCTCCAAAACTAATAAATTAGAATAATACCCTAAAACTAATTAAAATCTTTAACCCCGTAATTAATACGCTCCAACCCCCAAAACCTTATGAAGCCTCAAATCATTATCCCAACACTGGCCACGAAATCCTCCACACTGAAATCATCTGCCCCAACCATGGAGGAGCAGGAGGTGGTGGAGGATTGGGAGGTGGAGTAGCGGTGGACTGGGAGGAGGAGCTGGGGGTGGACTTGGTGGAGGGGGTGCTGGACTTGGTGGAGGAGTTGGTAGATGTGCAGGAGGTGGTGGTGGACTTGGTGGAGGAGTTCGTAACACGCAGCGGTAACACCTATCCCTAGCTCTCTCTCTTTCCCCAACCCAACGCCCGTCCCACTCCCTTCCTTAGTAAAGCAGTAGACCCGACGACTGCTCGTCACTAATCTCTTTCCATAAACCTACCAAGAGCAGTAAAAAATGTCTAAAAAAAGGTTTGATGAGCAGGATAATTTTATTCTGAGATGAATTGTTATATTTCAAGATTTTTCTCTTATTATGCCACATTTTGAGGTGATGATGTGAATTACCATTTCTGGTATTGTTGAAGATAATAGTTCAAGGGAAGATGTTGGATTTTCTTGTGTTGACTGTTGGTGAATTCACTTGATCTTTCATGCTTGATTTTCAGCATTATTTCCTGG